ATCGCGCCGTCTATGAATTTGTTTAGTTTTCGTTAGCAATTTTTGAATAAATTATAACAATTAAATACAATATTAGCATTTCAGTGCAATATTTGTTAAATGTGTTATTTATTGTTTATCTGACATCATATGCGGTCAAAGTTCTGTTCTGTGATATACATATAGAAAATGCTTCGTAAGATATTTTGGAACAAAATCTGGTTCTAACACTGACTACTGCTTCATTGCTCATTGCTTAAATAATTTTGAAATGATTTATTTTATCTTCACATAACTTAAAGAACTGTTTATAAATATTGTATACTTAAAAATTTTAGTTAAAACAGATTTATTTATTATACAGTATCTGCAAATATCTTTTTATGGGTTATATATAAACACATTTGTTGACTTTATTAGTCATTTTTTTTACTTATAGTATATATATTTATAAAATTGGACTTGATCTATTTCACTAACGATCAAAAGTACACGTGACGAAAACATCTGGAAATATTTAAAAAAATTTCATTACAGCTCAAATACAGAAGGGGTGTGATGGATACGGGGACACACTCAAATGATTCGTAATGAAGTTACAGTTGAACTGGTTAATACTGGTTTAATGCAGTTTTCCAAATTAAATGTATAAATTAGTTTTTAAATTCAAATTCTGCTGGTCCAAAAAGCGTCATTATGCAGACTAAAAATCGTTGTATTCTCTTGATTATATTAAAAACAGTTAACATAATAAATATATTGTTGAAATACATTATGATCTCTCCACACTTTAAAATGTGTTAATATCAGTTTAAAAATATATCGGAGGCTAGATACCTTGAAGTTCAGTTCAGCGCTGACAATAATACAAAGAATATATGCAGCTGATAAGTTAATTTCGGCGTGCTGATAGAGACTAATAGTATGTTCAGTAATAAAATCTGATTAACTGTATAAGGAGCTTAGGTGCTTTATAACCCTTCTCCCTATAAAGTATTATTATTCCATGTATTTCGTCTGGAAACAAACCCTGCCTCTCTCTATAGCAGTTCGTAACCATATCTGGTTTCATTTTACGTACTTTGTTTCAATTTCGTGTTATCTTAAGTTAAAATGAAAAGAAAATCTTCCATTATATAAAATTTTCCATTATATAAGTAATTTCTTAGAAATTCAATTAACTTCATTTTTCAATTATTTAAAATGTTTTCAATAAATAAAATATTTTAATAACAAATTTATGACTAGCTATTTTCATACGAGTATCAGGTTACATACGGTTATTATCATATTTTTGTTATAATATTAAATTATTATATTCCAAGTATCTTAAGTACTATATATATATATATGGGTATATATATATATATATATATATATATGTATTTCCGAAATTAATTTGACCTTCACTGTAGTGCTAATAAAATATAAAACTTTGACAAATTAATTTTATAATTAAAACATTCCTAAGGTGTTAAATTAATTTTTATTATCAGAGTACTACATACATACATACACTCAAGTCATTAATGTGAGTATTCCAATTGTTTTGTTTTCTTCAAATATAATTGATTGAATAAGTAGATAATTCCAGTTATATCTAAAATACTCGTATATATTTGGATATATTAATTTTCCATAACCCGATTACTATCAATCATTCGTTATATCAGAGCTATTGTCTAAATTTTATCATTCCCATTTCGAGTTTATTCTTCTCGTTATAATTGTGTAGCTAACTAAATCTTATATAAACAGCGATTTGGAATAATCACCAGGTTTTTTATTCAAGTATATTTTTCTTTTCTTTCAAGCTTATTCTTTACTTTGCATTCGTCTTGCTTTCATATTAGTAGCGTGCAAAGCATAATTGATTCAGAGTAAAAGAGAACGTTATAATCATTCAAGAGAGTTGTATATATTCAATTCAATTTACTATACACATAATGTTAGTTGCAGTAATAGTGTTAATATAACGCAGCTTAAGGTTTTATAAGTCGGGAACTAAGGGAACTAGAGGAATAAAAGGGCTTCTCATAGTATATCAAAGATAGGGCTTCTCGTAATATATCAAAACAGCAAGGGTGAGCATACTCAAGCCAATGGGCACTTGAAGTGTGGATGCGAACCAGATAGCTAAGAGAACTACTAAAAACAGGGTATTCTTCTAGTAGGTACGCTCCTCAATATAAATCATCACATTGAAGTATAAAGGGGAGGAGTCAAGGGTATGGATCACCCCATGACGATGAAATCTAAACAAAATACAGAGTTATATGACCAACGGTAGAGCGTTTTTTGTATAAGAACATATTTAGTCATTGGTCTATCCCAACAAATTCACAATGAGTTCTACTTTCGTTAGATACAGTCTTGAGAATTCGGAAAAATAATGAAAAATTTGATCTCCAATAAATGCAGTTCCCAAAATGTTTTCTTTAGTAACGCTCTTTCATTTTTTATCATATTCAAACAGATTTGTTTAATCGGTCGAATTTAACTTGTTTTTTCTTCTTCTTAATGTTAAATCCCATGCCTCTTAAACAACACTTTATCTTAAAGACCTATCGGCCATAGGTCAGACTGCCACTCGGTGGTAGCACACTTACCTACTATTCAATATTGTACAGCTTTTTTCAACTAGTCCATAGGTGAAGTAGCCATAATCTTCATCATTGACTAGACGACCCGGTTCGGATATTAATTTCCACAACGGTTTTTGGATTATAGGTTATTAACTATACTCAGGAAAATCCATTCTCGTTTTTTATTACAATGATGGGAGTGTGTATAGATAAAATTTTATAAAGACAGCCACGTGGTATCTGATGCCTGATCTGATGTCGTTTCTTTCTTTGGTCTTATATCCGCTGCATAATCCTTCTTGGTTAATGAAATTTTCATGTCTGTCTTGTGTGATTTTTGTAAAGGATCTTACCTCTTTCATATAACTGGGCACCCTGCTCTCATATTTTACCGAGGGAATACTGTTATATTATACATATATATACATGTATATATATATTTTGTTTTTACTATCTAATGCGTAATGTAGTCTAATTGTTATTAAAGTCATTTATGTAATTACAGAATTATTTATAAATTTTTATTTTCAAAAAATCGCATGATATTATTACTTTATGATCCAGTACTACTTAAAGACTTTAATAATGTCAAAAAATGTCTGTGTGAAAGTCTAAATAAATATTTTAAGTATTGACCTTGATATACTTTTGATCTATTTTTAATTTTTTTATTTGTAATCTATATTGAATTGGTTTCACATAAGGCCAAACCTTTAAAAACTATTATTATTGCGTTCATTTATTTCAAATGAAATTTTTTATCAAATAATGTGTCCAATTTTTTTAAGTAGTTAATTACCTTTTCTTTATTTGATCAATAAAAAAAATCTATAAAATTCCGTTGATTATAAAAGTACATTGATATATTCGTAATTAGATAACAATTAGGTATACATAATAATATAAAGTATTTAAACATATATATACTTCCTTTACTATGTAAGAACCGCAGTACAGAATATTTTTTTAGTCAGGGTAATTAATATGGAATATATCAATCCAGATCTGGGTATATAAAAAACTTGTTCAGTGAATCAGAGGGAATATTTCGATTTATAGTGCCCAATATCTAGAGTCTATCAGTATCACAGTTAAATTTTAATGGTTGATATAGCAGATTATTTTATTTGAAGAGTATTTCGTCTTCAAGGCTTATTAGTATGATGACTGCCATAGAAGAATGTATTAATCTTGTCAGGTGAGCATTTGGAATACCAATGTTATTTCTTTTTTTTCTTCTAATGTTTTAGATACCTAATGTTTTAAAATGGGTTTCAACTGGTTATAGTCTTTTTAGCACTGTATAGTTTTAAAATGAATCTTCGCGATGTATAAAATTTATTTTATTAATAATAAAATAAATTATAATTTATTATTAAATAATAAAAATTTTATTTACTAAAATAAATAATTTTTATTTGGTTTGTTAAATTTAATAAACTTTTTATTATGTCATTAAGGTATAAATATCATAAGGTGATAAGGTGTTCCATACTCATCATTCATAGTGAAATAAATCAATCTTACCAGGTCTCAGGTTGGTTAGATTTCAGGTTGCCGGGGATACCTAATGATTTGGTATGGGTGTCCATTAGGTAGTGGTCTGTGAAAATTGCAACAATCTTAGTTCTGCCTAGAAAGTCAGATTAAATTAGAGAGTTTGGTTATTTCGATTTTTCTTAATTCTTCATAGTTTTCTATTTATATTCTATTAGGCTAAGAAAATAATTATGGATATGTACTATTTCGATTTACCAGACACAATAGTGAATAAAGTTGCTAAAAATAGCTGACTATACTGAAGTCCGTTGTCAAATTACCGTACTCGGGATCGAAATCGCATCATATGTATACATGCTTATGTATTTATATATTTTTTATTTTATTATATTATTATGCATTTAAACAATATTTATATTTAAGTGAATATTTATATTTGTTTGTCTTGTTTTTATGTTTTTATATAGTCTTCAAATATATAAGAATATAAAAAATATATGAGAACACATAAATATAAAAATTTAAAATATATATATAAATATATATATTTTAATGAGTTTGTCTCTGGTAAAAGCAAATTTTTAATAAAAATATTTTACAAAAAAATTAAAAATATCTTTGTCTAAATATATATACATATATATATAATAATTATATTTTATATATTATTATTATATATATCATATTATATATTATTATTATATATATTACTATTATATATATTATATTATATATATTATTATTATATATATTATTATTACATATATTATTATTATTATATATTATTATTATTATACATTTTATTATTTATATTATTATTATTGATATATTATATTATGATATATATTAATATTATATATATACATATTTTATTTTATAAATTGTATTAAATTTGTTTATTAAATAATTATATTTTAATTTTAAATTGTATTTCAGGCGTTGCCGATGGCGTTGGGGGATGGCGTAGTTACGGTATTGATCCCGGAGAGTTTTCATCATTTCTCATGAAGACATGTGAACGTCTAGTCCATTGTGTTAATTTTAACCCACAACGACCTGTTAATCTCTTAGCTTATAGTTATTGCGAATTGTTAGAACAAAAAAAACCAATTCTAGGTAAGTTCAGAATAGTACCGACGACTATATCCGATCACTGCTGTGGCAAGTGCAATTTTATCATTTATAAGTCTTTTAAAATAAATAGATTAAAATTAAATTAGTTAAATATTTGAAATAAAATAAAATAAAAATACGATTAAATTAATTAAGGTGAAGAAGTTGTGTAAACAATCACGACGCCTGACAAATAATCAGTTAATATTTCGAATGTTGTTATATATGCACTGCGATAAGAAATATTTGTTTTGGTTTTTGTTGTAGACATTTTTTTTTTCATTTAAAAAAATATATATATTAAATTGTTCTTTTTAATAAATAATGAATGTTTTTTTTTATTTCTTTTTTTTAAATTTTTTTTATTTTTGTAATTTATAAATACGTCTTTAAACTTTTTGATAACAAAAATAAACTCGAAATTTCAACAAGAAAACACAGAACGAAGGTGCACATTCATCATGAAAGATATATATACTCGTATATATATATATTTTAATATATATAAATTAAAAATTAAAAAATTTGAACATTTTCTTTTCATTTGTTATGTTGAAAATAGATTTTTAAATTATAATTACTTTGAGTTTAGTATTTAACTGAAAAATTGGCAGATCTCCAAATTTTTTTAAATAAAAAAATACTGCTACACAAAAATAAATAAAATATTTATTTAAGCTAGAAACATGTAATTTATATAAATATAGGTAATTTATTTAAAACAATTTATACATTATTGCTGTGTTATATGAATTTCAAAAAAATAATTTTTAAAGAGAAAGTTTCTTTTATTTTCACACCTTTAACTTTACTAACCATACATATTATCTGTAATTTATTATATCAAACTATTTTATATAAATTACAGGCAGCAGTACAGCGTGTGTGCTGGTGCTGAACCGTGAGAATAGCACAGTCTATACAGCGAATATCGGAGACAGTGGCTTCATGGTGGTACGAAGTGGTGAAATCGTACACAAATCAGAGGAGCAACAACACTATTTCAATACGCCTTTTCAACTATCATTGCCTCCACCAGGACACGGCCATAATGTGCTTAGCGATAGTCCAGATTCAGCTGATACACTCAGCTTTCCCGTAAAGGATGGTGATGTTATATTAGTAGCAACAGATGGTGTATTCGATAATGTGCCAGAAAAGCTGTTATTAGATGTACTCAAAGAGGTAAAAAACTATTACAAAAAACTGTTATCAATTAATTGTTAATATTATTAATCTTAATGCTTGAAAAGGTCGAAGGCGTGTCAGATCCAGTCAAATTACAGATGACTGCGAATACATTAGCGTTTATGGCGCGATCGTTATCGTTCGATAGCGAATTTATGTCACCGTTTGCAATAAATGCAAGACGGAATAATATAAATGCAACAGGTATGTACTATAATGGTGGTTGTGATAAAGAGTTGGGTGTGTTTATGCCCCGTAGAAACAGTATAAAAAATTAAGAAATATTTACTTGGAAAATGGTTTATATAAATATCATAATAATTCCCTCTTTGTTATAACATAATTTTAAAACGCAGCGTATCAGATTTTAATTATCCTTGTATTTATCTGATAACATTTATATTCTAAGTAGTTTTTTTTAGGCTATATCAGATTTTTTTCTATATAGCAATCTAGCAAAAAATTTTTATATTTATCAATTTCTTGATTTATTTTAACCGATAGAAAGAAATTTATAAATTAAACAGAAACAGACATGTAAGTGGAATGCGACTGTGCCAATAATTATGACGAATATAAGCTTTATCGCATTTAGCGCAAATTTATAAAGGGAAACTTTATTATAAGCTATATATTTTATTTAGATTATTTCACTTTTATTTATTAATTTTTAGATTAGGTTACAAAGAAATACTTTAGAAAGTAAGATAAAAATTTAGCGTATATTTTGTTAACCAATAGAATGATACCCATTGAAGTTTTTGTATATTTATATATTTTCCACATTCTGAAAACTTAATAATCCCTGTTAATTTTTTTTAAGACTTGCTGTCTTCATAGCTTTAGAAGTTTTTTCTAGATCGAGTAGTTTCTCATGTCTTAGAGAAAACTTTTTTTGAACAGTGTCACTTCGATGGCTGTTTGGAGAACCACTTTATTATCAATAACAAGTGAATCCAATAAGAGCATTTAATCCAAAAGGTGGACACTTAATCGAACAAGCATTTCAAACCAACAAGTGGATTCAATATAACAAGTGGATTCAAGTAAATTTGATCCAAAAAGATTTAATGGAACAATTAAATTTAATCCAAATAGATTTAATCCAACAAGTGGATTTAATCCACCAAGTAAATTCAATAAAACAAGTGAATTTAATCAAAATGGATTTAATACAGCAAGTGGATTTAATTCAAGTACATTTATTCCGACAAGTGGATTTAATCCAACAAGTAAATTTAATCTAAATGGATTTAATCCAAGTGGATTTAATTGTATAAGTAGATTTAATTCAACAAGTTGATTCATTCCAAGAAATGGATTCAATCCAACAAGTAGATTCGATCCTGATCGATCCTGGAAGCACTTCACTTCATTAAGGAAGTTTTATGAGGTATAAGAGATTATTTAAGAAAGACCTATCTTTCATTTTACTAGGTTTTTTTTTGTTGCGAAATGATCACCTATAGGTTACTTTAAATTAGTATAATATTCACCTACTTTTATGTGAAAATATTTCAATAATTAAAATACTAAAGCAAACATAGTTTTAATTTATCAATAAAATTAAAACTATTACACTATTCTATTTAGATTGCACAAAAATGTTTTTATATAAGTATTAGTTGGAGAATGTGGAAAAAGTTTGAGTTAGATTTGATATAAAGAAAATCATTAAATGTCAACAACAGTGAATACCTGCTTCTCAAAGGATAATACCTGATTTCAAAGTTGTAACAACCATCCAAAAAGTTAAAATCTGTTTTTCTTAGAAAGATACGTCCTGATATAAAAGTTGTTATTATCATCCTTTTACCTATTTAGCATTGTGTAATGTCTAAGCTTTATTGATCGATGTGAGTTTTAACTTCATCATACATCACAATAGTTTGTTTAATTTGCCATTTACTATTATAGCATTGAATGAGTTTTTGCATGTCACCTTGTTTATTATAATTTGTTTCTAATTTTCTATTTGCATTTTTCATATATCATCTATTATACAGTCAATCCATCTCTGCTCGGATCCATTACTTTGCAGCGCATACATTACTATCTGTCTTTGGGGACAATTTTCTTCCATTCTTAGACCTCTTCTATCGAAGCAATTTCATTTTTTAGGGCTAGGACGTGAAGTAATGGTAGTGTGAGAGGATAGTGGATTGTTTAGGAATAAGAATCGGGATTGGTTATTAATTGAAATCAAACTTGGTTACTGCGGAAAGACTTAATTACTTCAATGGGACGGATTCAAAGAACAAGTAGATTCGATCGAGTAATTAATATGTGCATTGTCTTAATGATATCACCCAACTATTTTTAAGGAGGGTAAGAGCTGAATTTAGGGCACACATTGAGAAAAGACGAATTTATACATGACAAGTAACTGTTTATGGATATATCCCAATCTTTATTCAGTTTTTGCTGCACGTGGATTGTTGTTCTTTTCGGGAGAATAAAATTTTTACTCATCTGTAGAGCCACAATCCTGACACAAGTCGGTAGAAGATAAACCAAATCTTATTGCATGACTTTTTTTTTATTACAAAGTGGCCTATCAGCTCCGATAGTGTAGTACTGAGTTGGTTCCGCTTTAGTTAAAACAACTGCTTGTTGCGAATTTTGTCTAACTTGGTTTAGTTGAGTATTGTGATCTGACAAGAATCTTTATACATCCAGGCTTCCGATGGGCTCTATATTGAAGACTTCAACATTAATTTTGATTGATTGATGTTTCTTTTTGTATTTTGTTCCATAATTCCAAACAGTTTTTGCTTGTAATGTATTTCAGTAGTAACTGATCTGTTTCCACCGTTGGCTATTCACACTTCAGCTATATTTATTATTTTTAAATATATTTAATAATTAATTTGAAATACTTATTATTTTATGATCAAACGATTTTAATACAGTGTTTTTGCAGGCTAATTGGTTAAATTTTTTATTGTTGTTAAAAATAAAAATTAAGAAAAAAAAAACACGATTTATTTTACAAGAATTTTTATTTCATCGTTATTTCGACTTAAGTCTAAACTGATGATCATCAGTTTACTTATAAAGTCGAAAAATTATTGTAAAATAAATCGTGGTTTTTTTACTTAATTCTAAAAAAATTAACCAATTACCCTACAAATATACTTTTTAATTAATTTTATATATATTAAATAATAACTTTTTGTACAAATAAATATTTTGTAAATATAAATAAAATAACGAATTTTTTTCCCCTTCTTTAGGTGGTAAACCTGACGATATAACTGTGGTACTCGCAACTGTAGCAATGTGAAATTAATTTAAATATTAGTTTTTAATTATAAGAATAGAATTTAATTTAACTTTTAATTTTAATTATTTTCATTTTGCTGACATGATTTTTTTTAGATTTGACTTTTGTTATACACACGATTATGTTTACGATTAATGTTTTTTTCTAAGTTTAGTTTGTAGTTGGCTAATTATTTTTAATGCTAATACTGATATTTGTTTTTATTTTAAAACGAATTATAATAAAAAAATGTAATTATTTTATTTTATTTTTATGAGTGTAAATTGTCAGTTTGTTAACGTATTTTATGCTTAACGATTTATTTATATATAAAAAGATTTATTAAAACAAATAGTTCCTCGACTTCTTTGTTTTGATTTTGATTACCTCATTTTTTTGAAAACTCCCTAACTGTCACTATATTGCAGTTGCGAGTATTATTTAATATAATTAACAAAGGCCACTTGCCACATTGCATGCTGGTGGATAATCGTTAATAAATTTACATTTGAGAAGTGTGCTTAATGATGTTTAAGTATAGTGAAGTTATGAATTATGAATATATGCGACTATATAATGAAATAATCAATAAATATATTATAAACAAAAAATTACGAAATTCAAAATAGAAAACAATGAATGGCTAAGTAGATTTAGAGAACATATTGAAATATTGAAATATTAATGATATAAATATGAAATTATAAATAAAAATATCGAGTTTTTTGAATAATGTAGTTAAATATGAAATTGAATTAATTGGACTGATATATTGCAAAATATTGTCATTAAAAAAGAAACATAAAATAAATATAAAATCATGTAAATCCGTGTAGTGCAATGGGTCATTGAAAAACTGCTTTAGTTTGGACCATCATTGCATTCAAGTAGAAAACGAACAATAAAATAAAGTTAATAATTACAAAAATTTCAAAAGCAAAAGTATTTTAATTAATATTTTTTCTCTATTTTTATTTTAATTTATTATTTTTTTTTTTATTTTACATTAATATACAGTCAGGCATTTTAACCTAAATTAAATGACGGGACGCAGTGCTTAATAGGCAAAAAAACTGCTCTGTCACTTTTAACATTGTCCTAACAAATTTTTATAAACCTTTTATTATCGATTCTAATAAAATACCAACACAACTATTGCATGTAATATAAAATTTCACAAAAAAAGTGTATACTTAAAACAGTTCCACATCCGGTCTTTGTCTATTTTGTGCTGGTCGTTGCTCCGGCGCAGCATTATCTCGTTGTTCATTATCAGCGGGAGCAACACCTTCAGCACCATCACCAGCAGCTGGGGCGGCTGCTGGTCTTTGAGCTGCATCTTCCCCACCCCAATTAAAACCACCAGGTCGATCTTCAGGCATCTGTTGATAATCACGGTCAATATGTTCATTAAAAAGTACTTTTCTGTAAAGAAAATAATACAATGATAAGCGAGGCAAGGAGTATAAAGTGGATCACAATCCAGGATTACTGTTAAACTACATAGACTTCAAAAACAAAAACCTTATATACTTACAAGAAATGTGGAGTCTTTATAAATTTATAGCCGTTGACTTGTGAAGGAAAAACATCTTCTAGGAAAAAGTAAATATGTCCAACACCCATGCCAATTATATCCACCCAAACAGTGCTACCCAAGATCATTGAACAACATAACAAAACCCAAGGCAAGTAAGGCGCCTGTAAATAAACAAAATTAATTATAATATTTATAAAATTAATCAATTATTAAAATATTATATATATAAAACTATTCTAATATAATAATAATTATATAATACAATTATAGTACAAATAATATAATATTTTATATATAATAAAAAAATATATATAATATATAAAATAATACATATAATATAATAAAGTAAAATAATATATATAATATCAATTATTAATATAATATAATACTCTAATAATAATATAAAAATAATAATAATATAATATTTTAAGTATATAAAATATATATAATAATATACAGGGTTAGGCGATTGAACTGTTACTGTTACACTTATTCATAATTTTTTTATGTGAAATTATTTTTTATTTATTCAAATTACAAAAATTTGTGGAAATAATTAAAATTTCAGAATCCATTCACTCTAGCTGGATATGGCCACATTTTGCCTTGACTATGCATGCTTCACGAATGTGATTTTCCGGTATTTTGACCCATTCCTGAACAATGATTTTCTTCAACGTATCCATACTGGCATATTTTTTAGTTCTCAACTTGCTCTCCAAAATGACCCAGGTGAAATACTCCATTGCATCTGGGGAATTCGAAAGCCATTGTGTAGACGAAATGGTTTTTTAACCATTCTTGGTTTACACGAGCGTTATGACCGAGTCTTGTTGGAACGTCCATGGTGTACGACCGAAATGTTTGCGCAGTCACGGCACTAAAGCAACTTCCAAAACATTTTCCCGATAATTAATTGCATTAACTTTGACACCAGGTTCGATGAAACCGATTTGAAAGCGTTCATCCCACCAAAGAGGTAGGTATGCTTTACCTTTCCTACCTTATGTTAGAGAATGGTAGAGCAATTATATTGTTGACATCATACTGAGATGTATGAATACAAAAAAAACACATAAAAGTTTATAATAAAATTTAGAACCTACGATGTAATCAATACCATATTATAAGAAACAAATTATTACAAACCCAAATAACTATATTCAAATAATGTTTGATTGCCTAGATAGGTAAGCGAATGAAATTGAAAGACGATCGAATCCTCCTCAATTTGCTGTTTTAATTACATATTTTTCGTAATTTTGGGAAGAAATTACGAATATTAGAACTAGCCAAACATATGATTGCCTATTAACTGGTTTCAAGAACGACCGAGATTACGTTCCGGAGTTCCTCGTCAAATTTGATGATGAAGTGCTGTTCGGTACTCTCAAAAGTGACGATACAAGTAGATCATTGCGGGATATTAAAACAACATGGCCTATGAACTGAATAGATCTATAGCAGGTTCAATAATTGACGTCAAAATAAAATAAGAGTTTTGAATAGATCTATAGCAGGTCCTATAATTGATGTTAAAATGAAATGAAAGTTTTAAGATTATCTAAAGTCGTAATAAAAAACATTTCTACTAGGTCCATGCGACGTTCTAGTTATGTGTCTCATAAATCTCATAAGACTACATTAATAAATATTTTCAGAGCAAATATTTGTCTTCCGGGTTTACGCTTTTGAAGTGAGGGGCAGAATCTTGTTTGTATTCACGTTCAGAAAATTTTATTGAAAAAACATAGACACAGATAATTGTTATTTTAGCTAGTAGACGCAGAATAGAATTTAATCAAAAAGTGCAGTTTTATATAAGAAAACTATGTATAATCGGTAAGGTTATACGTAATTAATATATGTTAAGTAGGTCAATCTGATTTGAAATGACGTCTTTCTTTATGAAAAATGGCGCATGAAGATCGAATGAGAACTGCATTACTAGATGAAAGATCTCACAATAACAATTATTGTATTAAAAAGAAATGTTGAGGTATTGAATTATTTGCTAAAGTTATATGAACAGGTCGGGGGTAAGGAGTAACAATCTTGGTGCCTGCATGAAATATGCGTTATATCTCGATATGTCCACCTTTTTCCTTGACTATGGTCTTCAAACGGTTAAAAAATGAGTTGCATGCTTCAGGTATGTGATCTTCCGGTATTTTGGCCCATTCCTGAACAATGGCTTTCATCAGCGTATTCATATCGACATATTTTTTACTTCTCACCTTGCTTTCCAAAATGGTTCAGATGGAATAGTTCATCGGATTTGCATCTGGTGAATTCGAAAGATATTATGTGGACGAAATGAAGTGTGGAACATGATTTTTTAACCATTCTTGATTCACACGAGCGTTATGAGATGGTACCGGGTCTTGTTAGAACGTCCATGATCTACGATTGAAATGTTTGCGTGATCATGGCTCTAAACCGACTTCCAAAATATTTTCCCAATAATAAATTACATTAACTTTGACACCAGGCTTGATGAAAACGATTGGAGAGCGTCCATTCTACCACCATGACTACAATCATTTTATATTTGAACAGCGAAGAATTTAATATAAACATACAGTGGTAGGACTATATGTTTCAAGAGCCAGTTTAGGCGATAGATAACGGTGTGATGAATCAAGAAGTGTTCTTCGCGGTTAAAATTAATAATGTTCTTTTATTGTTATTTTAAGTGTCTAATCTTAATGACTCAGTCACGTGCTTAAGTACACGTGATTATAAATAATTATGCATATAAAGTAACACAGGAAGCAGCTGTACATGGCTCAAGTTGCACATAATGAACTAGCGATTGCATTGACTCATTAATGCTTACACTGCAGTTTTTATAGCGAGAACTATTGAAGTGAGGTTTGTGACAGGGCGTTGCCTGTGGTGGTCATATTACTTAAACAATCACAACTGTTAGCAATGCATTTACAACTAATAGCATTTTATCACAATTAGTAATATAATAAAGTCTTGCAAATTAATATGATTATTATAATGGACATATATATGCTACAGTGGAACTGAACAGATTATAATAGCTCCCACTGTTGGTTTAAACCCGGACACAAGTGCTATCCTTGCTTATGGAGTGAAATAGCTCAGTATATATACAAAACTCTAAAAGGCCAAAGTGTGAAGATGGAAAATTAAACTTTAATTGGTAAAGGTATAACAATCGATACGAGTATGTAATAGTTCATTGTACCTAATTTGTGATTATATATTTCAGCATTCAAATTAGGTCATTTATTGCTTATTTGTTGAATGCTACAGTTTCTATTCCAAGTTTGCTCTAACAATTTTGGAACTAATTGTGCTTCGAAGTAAATTAGGTCACATAACGTATGGCTCATTGAAGGTGTTTTTATACAACAATATATTTTATTTATGTATGTTACACTAATGAATCCTTTTAGTCTTGGTACCCACGAGTGTCCAGAAACGAGCGGCACCATAACACTGTCGCATTTGGGGTTAGAAGAATCATTAAAGCCTCTTGCGTTAAAACATATTGTTCACGGCACAAGAACCGTCACAACGGGAGTAGTGTCCCTCCGTTGTATATTGTATGGTTTTTTCATCGAAAAGTTCCAGTACCGTTGGTTTCTGTATGCCCATGAGTACAAAGGCTATGAGTTATTTTATGCTAACTAAATCAACTTGATAATAATTCAAATAAATAAAACCAAAATCTTAAAAAGTTTTACTTAAAAGAAACTACTTACTTGAAAATAAAGCACTCCGAAGAAGTTCATGCGTACGAATGGATTTCGCCGCGACCACACGTAAACGAGCATTAACGTGAATGCTTGACCAAGGAACAATAAATTAACGAACAGTCCTAGTATAACCATAAGAACACCGCCAAATAAAAACATCATCACAAAGTCAGAGCTGCGACCGCGAAACGAGCCCTCCTCGAGCATGCGGCAGTAGCGGTAGGTGAAAATCATATTGAAAAAAAAGCTCATGCCCACTGAGCCAAAAAAAAGGAATGTGGTAGCTAAACGCCATAACTGAAGTTTACCTATTATCGATGTGGGATTAAAGTAGAGCTGGAGTGGAGTTACTAGTTCCAAATGCTGCAATTGAAATTTGTTAATTTCTTGTTAGGATGACGTGTTTTTGTCACAGATAACCGTTACTTCCACTTACCACAGCTAATGTAGTTAAAACGCAGGCTGTTGTGTAGTATCTCGTCACCGGAGGAATCTCCATATAGAATTGACGTAACTGTAATGCCATCGCTATGGCAGGCTTAACAGTTCTTCTCCAAGTTTAATGTTATTGAAACACTTTCATTTGTTCTGTAAACACAACATTGATTTGGTGGATATTCTCTAGCCTCTTTAGTAAAACTCTAATTAGTACAAAATATATGGTGACGTGTATTAACACTTTAATCACAATTCTTAGCGCACAATATACAAACAGAAGCGTAAAATATTATCTATTTACAAGTGGTTAGAAACACAAATCTTCAATCTGCCAAATAATGACGTTTCACTATTTGACAGTTCACATTTCAGTCATCAGCAGCTTTTCATTTTCTATTCTATAACGTAAGCGCTTCTTCAATTTTTGACAATATGTACGAAGATCGTATTGTTATGATACGGTCTTGTGTCAACTGCTACTGCATTAAAGATCGTATGGGTTTTGAAATATGAAAAGTTATGAATAATAATTAGGATGTGTATGTATGTTGCATTGATATTAGGATGATTAGGATGATTGTTGTGCATTTATATATATTCATCTATTTTCGAAGAAGGTATACATGAACATTATATTATTCTATTGTTATGCTTAAACTATTAAGTAACTTGACAAATATAAAATAATGTATGTACATATATAATATAGTATAGTATAAACACCATATAATATAATATAATATAGTGTTTATCAGAAAAGAGATTTTGGTAATAGAAGGGTATTCTTCGGTGTTTTTACGATCTTTGAACCTTGCCGTATATTTGTATATGTATATATGTATATTCATTTTTTTATCGAAAAAGTAATATAAATTACAAATATCATATTAGTATAATATTATTATTTTATATTATACATTATATTATAATGAAATGTTATATTAAACATAATAATATGTTTAAGTTATTGTACATAACTGCAAAAACACATAATTGTGTTTACTTCAAGCAGTAGTGTTCAATAGCGTTTACGGTCTTTGGAATGGTTGTAAAAGAAACTCACAATAAATGCGAAATGACAGTTTTTTATACGATATTAGCAAAACACCGTATATTTACGCTTTATTTTCACGGTCTCTAAAAAAATTAGTTTGCATAAGAACCATTCTATTGACATAGAGTTGTTTTCAAAAATGAACAGTTTGAATAATATTATAATTAAATATTTATAAATAAATTTATTTCAGATGAAGGAATATGATTCTCTCTCTTTGGTCTTGGAATCTTCTGTAGAATTGCCATTCTTTATGCCATGTAAGGAAATTTAAAAATGAACATTTATTATAATCTTCATTCTAAATAAGGTTTTCCACAACACTATATATTCATATACCCTAAAAATGGTGCGAATATTACTAAGAATATTGTAAGGTAATCCTAAGTAATCTTTGATCTCAATATTATCTAGGTTTTTGATTTGATGAATGATAGTGATATCGATAGTGTATCTGTTTAACTAGAGAGACTCTTTTTTAAATCCTACTACTTCTGTCTCATAAACACTACTGTTAGGGATATAGACACATAATTTCAATCGTAAGATTTTTTAAAGTCAACTCTCCCATCAAGTTAGGATCCATCTGTGTAAAGGCCTTCAGTATTTACTACATTTCCTATAAATAGTATGTTTCCACTGACTTCGTTAGACGAGTTAGCTTACTTAAGATTCAAGTACTAATGGGAACATACTCTTACTCCCAAAAGATGTCAGTCAGAATCCCTGTTCTTTTTAAAGACGCATTGTTCATTTTCTTTTAGAAGTGTTTCTTTTACTAAATAAGCAAAATGCTATAATCAGCAGAAAAAAAAATATAGCTTATCAAAAATTTTCTATTTGTATTTCTTAATTAAATAAAAATCTCAATTAAATTTTTTTTAAATTTTGTTTTTATTATGTTTTTGTTTTTTGTATACATTAAATTTAAATAATGATTTTTCGAAAAAATCTTTCTTTTTGTTTTATTACTTAAACATAAAAATTTAATTTTATATTTTTTTAAATATATATATTTATATATATAGATATATATATACTTTTATTTTGCTTTGATTCACATTTACATATATAATAATAATTTTTTAAGTTTTGTTTTTCGTTTTTTTTCATCTTTTGTAAATTATTTTGTAACGCTACTATTTTTATAAATTCGGACTTTGTTAAAAATACAAAAATATTTTAGTGAGTCTAAGATAGAGGGTAGAAGTGTGGATATGAAAGGTTATATACTATAAACCGTAATAGGTGTTAAATTTAATAAATAATTGCTTTTATGATTTTTGAAATGATTAAAAAAATTAAAATATTAATAGATAATAATCAAGATACATAGGGGTTATTGTATATAAAATTATTTTTAATTTGTAAATTGAAAATTAAAATATTAAAAAAAATTTGTAATAAGTCTTTAAATCAGAATAAAAATTTGAATGAATAATAAAGATTTTTGAATTATAATTTGGAAAGCTTATATGTTAAAAAAAACATTAAATGACTATTTAAATTAAAAATAAAATTAAATAAAATATATATTTATAATTTTAAAGCGCAAATATTGTAAAATAAAATTTTATTAATAGTTTAACTTGAAGTTTAAGTTGAAGAAATTAATATGTAAAATATATATTTTTAAATTATAAAAAATTATAAATTATTATTAAATTAAATTATAAATAAATTTAAAAAAAATTAAATTTTTATTTGAATTAGAAAAAGAATTTAAATAATAAATATATTTAAAATTTGAAAGCGCAAATATTGTAAAACAAAAGTTTAATAACTGTTTAAGTTGAAGTAAATATTAATATAAAAATTAAATATTTTTAAATTATAATTAGAAAGTTGAAAAACTAAAAAAAAATTAAATATTTTTAATTATAATTAGTAATTTGAAAAAATTAAAAATAACTATTTTCTTCGTGTTATAATTAAAATGAAAAATAAATATTTTTAAATTATAAAAAGAAAGTTCAAATAATCAAAAAAAAATTATTATTTGCAAGTGTAAAAATTGAAAAAAAATTTAATGACTATTTAAATTAAATAATTAAATAAATATTTCAATTTAAAGTTTTCAATAAAATATTAAAATATTTATTTTAAATAATATTTATTTTTAATATTTTAATATCTACCTATATGAAATATTTTTTATATAATTTTTATAACTTTAATTTTAAAATGTATCTTGATTATTTTTTTTAAAATAAAAATATTATTTTTTTAAATAATATTGAAAATTAAATGTTTGTTGGTTTGTAGAAATTTTTTTTTACTTTCAGTTTTAATGTTAAAACAAATATTTTTCTAATAATGAGTTTAGTGTTCTCCGGATAATATATTTTTTTAAATTTATATTTAAGACCAGAATTAAATGCAACCGTAACATCAACAACACGTATATATTCGAAGATAATTTTTTTTTTTGTTTTTCAATTTAATCAATTAATTAATAATTTTTGTTTTTCTTAAATTTTGTTCTTAATAATTTTACATATTTAATGCTTAAAAATTAAAAAATTCAAAAAAGTAGAATTTTGAGACAATTTAGTAATAATTTTTGGTTTTTTCTATACAATTAAGTTTTTAAATTTAAATTTTGTTTTAAATCACAGATTTTTTGTTTTAAATTCCGAAATAAAAGACGAGTTAAATTTTTAAAAAAGAAGAGATTAATTTTTTTTTCGTATTCTATATGAATTCATAATAATAATTTTGACTAATAATTTTTAATTATCTAAATTTTGACTTTTTAAAAATTTTAATTTTGTTTTGTTTTTGTTTTTTTTTATAAATTTTGTAACATTTTATTTTTTTACTTGATATGCGTTGCATTTTGTTATGGTTTACTTAATTTTAAATTTTGTTTAAATTTAATATTTTTTTAGTGCCAAAATCTTATTTTTAGTTTTAATTTTAAATATTAAAATTTTGAAAAAAATTTTTTGTATTTGTTTTAACATAATAATTATTTTTTTGTTTTGTTTTATTTTATTTAAGAATTTAATTTTAATACAAAGTAGTTGACTTTGCATAAAAAGTTTGTTTAAAACAATTGATATATAAAAAGGTAAATTTTTTTTCAGGGAAGAATTGTTTTTTTTTTGTTTTTTTTTTTTGCAAATAGTGGGAGTGACTGATATTTTGTATTGTATTTGGCAGCGTCTCAAAGAGAAAGTCCTTTGTTATTTGTTTGAGCTATTTTGTTCCTGTTTAAGTTAATAATATTTAAGTTTTAAGTGCTAACATGAGAATTACTTACTCGTTACTTCTTATTAAAAAGTTGATAATAGTTTAAATATAATTTTTTATACTAGAATTAGTTTTAATATGTATATTATATTATATTAAATATATATATTATAATAAAAATTTTTACAACTATTAACTCTACATAAATATTATTTGTATTTAAAATTAATTTTTCTTCATTTTTCATTTTTTATTATATGTATTGTAAATATGTTAAAAATAAGCCAATAATTGCTATAATACCAATTATCGGTGCTATATAATCGTATCCTTTTTTGTTTGTATAATGTTAGACAACTTGTGTTTAATTATTTTTTTATTCATCTATTTTTTTTGCTTTAAATTATTTGTCTTTAAAAACTATATTGAAAAATTTATATTTATTTTTAACTGTTTTTATTTGTATAATAAAACTAACAACCTGAGGTATTTACCGTGGTCCTTATTTCAACAAGGATATGCGAAAGAGTTTTTAAAATATTTTTGTTAATATTTATTTTAAAATATTATTTAATTTTATTTAATTTTATACTTAAAATTTGGCACTTATTTCTATCGTTTTAAATGTAGTGAAGCAGCATTTTTTTAAAAATAATTTTTTAATTATAAACCATTTAGAGTTTGAGCTAAAAGCGGTTAATACTTAACATATATAAAGTATATAATTTAATAAATATAAATAACTTAAATAATTTTTGTTATAGTAAAACTAAAAGAAAACCAAAAATTTTGAATTTTGTATTTTTTTTGTGCTTTTATTTCCAAACAGTAAAATTTTGATTTTAAACCAAAAGTAAAAAAAAAAACATATAAAAAGTATAAAAAATTTTGCATTTTTTGGGAGATAAATAATTTTTTTAAGCCTAAACATAAATTTTGTATAAAAATTTTTTTTTCTTAATATAACAGCCAAAACATGAATTTTGTTTATAAAAAAAAACAATAAAATTTGAAAATAGATCACAGTTTGTTTTACTTTCTCATTCAAGATTTGCATTATTTTTAAACTTTTAATATGCACGAAAAAAAGTTTTTTTTTAAATTATATATAATAATCTTAAATTTTAAATTTATAATATATAAATTAAAAATACTTAAATTAATATTTAAACGTAATTAAAAATTAAAAATTTTGCTCAAAGTTTTATTTAAAAAATAAAATTAAACTTAACCGCCCGTGAAGAATTTCCGTGTCCAAAATAAATTTTAAGAAAATTTTGCTAAAAATTTATTGACAGATTGTTAATATAAAATGTAAGTTGTTAAAAAAAATATATATATTATAAAGAAAAAAAAATCTAATAAAATTAGGTTAAAAATAATATAGTATATACATATATGAAAAAAAAATGCTGTTGTTGGTATTTCTTACGGTTATTGTTCTCTACTTTGAATATGAGTTACAATGACCCAATATCGGTCAATATGACACTGAGGTATTTCGTTATATAAATTTAAATAAAAATTTTTTTGAAAAATGTGGAATTTTAGAGATAGCTCTTGATCAACTTTTAACTTTTAAAAAATAAAAACTTTTTCAATATAAATTTTAAAAGAGCTTTCAACTGCGGATTAAAAAAGTTCCAGACAAATGGTTGTAGATTTGCTTTTTGAAGATAATCTCCCTCTTTTCCGGATTTTCTTTGATGCTTATTATCCCATTTCAATCCCCATATTTTTCTTTTTTCTTTTATTTTTAATTTATCCAGCTTACGGGCTTGAACTCAATAGTCAGCTGACTAAGTGCCATGGGTGTATACCTGAATTTCAACTCAAGTAAAAAAAATGTAAATCAATGTAAGATTTAAATGAGTAAAGGCTGGGGTTCTATAAAAGATGAACATATATCCTTAGGCATTGTAAGTATGCTGAACAAGAGCTATATATTATTGGCTTAAATAAACTGTTGTTGAAATTCTAAAATAAATGGTTATACGTATGTATATGGTATATATAAATAGCGGTTTGGTTTTAGTTCCAGGGAAAGTTTTTAATGAGTAAAAGTTCATGTATAGATAAAGACAAAAGACTCAATGAGTTAAGTATACTAAAAAAAACTAAATATATTTCTTTGAATATTATTGAATATTAGTCATCATGATGAACAAGGTTTATTCTCTTTCATACATATTAAAAGTCTAAAACTGTGGGTATATGAGTACTTCTTTGAACATTGTAAGTTTACTTAATTTTAAAATGGAACTTTAATGGAAACTTTTGGAGGTGATTTATAGATTGGTACATTTTTATTTATGGCAGTACAAAATAAGTAATATTGAGGCTAATTAGTATATATATAAAAAAGGCAGTTTTATTATTATTTAGTATTTGTGGAATTGGTAATAAGTTTTGTATATATTATATATTGGCAGTATAAGAGAGAAATGTACCTAACGTAAGTAAACTTAATGTAAAATGTGAAATACCCAATTAACGTTGATAAGTTAATAGAATTGTTTTAAAATAATATGAGATCTAAATAAATTCACCAACACTTATTGTATGTATTAATATGTAAATATTTTCTTTGAGTACTTTACGTGTTCATATCAGTACTTTAAAATCTTTACAGAAATTACATAAAATAATTTGAGGTGCTTTAGTAGAACTTTTCATACAAAATCTATACAAAAATGTGCTACTGCAAATAATTTCCAATGAGAAAATTAAAATATTCGAAGTACAATATATATTTGCAGCCATACAGAAGAAACGAAGGCCAATATCTACTCACAAGCGATATATTCGCTTTATTTCACTTATTATATATTTTTTGCACTGTGGTGAATAAAATTGTAAATTCACCAAGTATGTTGAATATTAATTTTTTTTAATATTTCTCACTTTTTTCCATTGTTTGAGAACAATAACTATGTAATACCATTTTTATAGATATTCTTAATAATTTTAAGTGTTTTTTTTATTATAAAAAGTGTTTTCTATATAATTTGTAAGTTACAGTAAAACTGATGGCACATTTAATACTCTTTCGATAAACCGTGCTAAATTATTTTCGTTTTTTTTTTTTATTTCCCTTAAAATTGTTCTGGATACTAATATTTTTTGTGTTAATATTAATATTTTGATATTTTGGATATTTCAAAAAATTTTCCACGATATGGCGGACAATACATATATATTGATATATGTATATTAAATACATATATATATACACAGAGTGTGTACATATATAAGTTTTTTTTGTTGTCTAGCTTAAAAGTATGGTTTTTTTCATTATTTGTATTTTTCTTAATAATACATAAATTTTTAATAAGAAATTCCTGAGACATTTTACTGGATATGTGCGCAAATAACAATTCGGAAATAATTTTCTCTCTTCAACTATTAATTATTAGTTTTTGTTTTTTGTTTTTTTTTGCAATTTACTTCCAATTTGTTAAAACATTTTTTTTCGGCCTGGTTTTGTTTTTGCTATTTCATTTAAATTAATTTAATTTAATATAACTTGATTTGATTTGATTTCATTTATATTTTTACTGAAACATCTTATTAAAATACAATAGCATTTATTTATATATAATAAAATGTTTTGTTTAAAAATAAAATTGTATTTTAAAAATATAATTATGTACAAAGTATTGAAAGTTTTTGTAATTTTTTAATTATTTAAATTAATTTTTTTTTATGCATTTAATGTACATTTAGAAAAATATTATTAAATTTTTGTATACGCGCATATGTATTTTCTTCATATATATATATATACTATTTTTTATATATATATAAAAATGTTTGTTATATTTTAAAAGTTCTTTTGAAATTAAATTTATAAATTTTGGATATATTTTATTTTGTATATTGTATTTAAACATTAAATAATGTTTAAGTGAATTTCCAAAATATATAGTATATATATAAATTTTGTAAAATTTCAGAACATTTGTACTTCACTGGTGAAAATCACTGAGTTTTGTGTTTATACTTTATACTTTTTTATTTTAAATATTTTATTTATATATATATATATATGTATACATATATATTTAAATGTATTGTAACTTGTTTTGTCGTTTGTTGTTAAGCTTAAGTATGATTTTTAGATTTTTAATGTAAAAATATTCTTAATTTCTTTTTGTTTTTTACTGATATTTATAATCCCTGATATTGTATAATTTCTTTAAACTTTTTTCATTTTGTTTTTTTTTTAGCTTAAAAATTATTTAATATTTTTAATGGCTGAAACCATGGCATTCCCGCCCATTTACTTTTAAAGTATTTTCAATTTATTTTATTTTTCATTTGGAATATGATTTTTTAGAGAATTTTGAAAATTATTCATAAAATTAAGTAAAATTATTTTAATTTTAAATGAGTTCCAATACAATGTAAAATTGAATTAAATAAATATTAATATTTAATATAATTAAAAATTTTATCAAATTTCAATATAAAAGTGTTTCAAACAAATTAAATAAAAATGTTGCGCAAATGCTCACTGTGATATGTTGCTTCATCAGATGTATTTTAACAAATTATTATAAATTTATTAAAAATAAAAAATAATTATTTAAAAATGATTTTTAAAGAATTTAATTATGTACCATTTGGTACTATTTAAGCTGTGTTTGCGATTCTAATTGACATATATGCGTATATATATTTTTTTTAAATTTAAAGTTACTATTTTTATTTTTCCTGCTATATGTAGCATTTTTATGCTATTTGCTGTTGCTATTTTATGTACTATTGAATATCTATATATTTCTTAATGTATTTTTGGAAAAATTTCAAAGCTGCTATTGTAATTAATTGATACAAGTGTTTAAAGTATTAAATATCAAAATTAAAATTTAGAATTTCCGAATGACCGTTGGATTTCTGCTTTAACTAACTGTATTATTTAAACTGGAAAACTTATTTTTTTGTTTTAAGACGAACTGCCACTACTGAAGCACACTTAACCTCTAACTCATTCCTTCAATTCTTCTATTAATTTTTCACCACAAATATTTTACAAAGAAAATTTTGCTTTTTGTTATGAGTTTCTTTAAAAAAAGTCCTTCATTCTCTTTCTTTCAATTCCACTGGCTGGGCACAATTCTTTTGCAAAGTATGCCAAACTGAGAATTCTTATGTTAAATGTATTAGAACTAATTCTCTTAAAATAACTAAATCATATATTAGAATAAAGCATATATAAGTAAGTAATTAAACTAAGCTAATTTGCAATTTATAATTAAATTAAATTAAATTACTTGCTACAACTATTTATGTACAAAAACTGTTTCACTGGAAACGCTTTAAGCTATCCCTGCAGTAAATAACTGCACGACTTCACACTTGGTAAGAATATTACCAAGAAGCTGAAATTTCTTGCCTAGTTTAAATTAAGCAGCTGCAATTTAAAACTTTTTTCTTTTTGATTAAAAATAAAACAACAAATGCAACATTTTAACATTTTCCCTGCTGCTCGATATTAATATAATGTAATGCATTACTGCACTCATTACTTTTACTTTCCTGCAATATTGCACATACAACGCGTACATATACTTTTATATTTCCTCATGTAGCATTTAATAATTGTAATTTTAAATTAAAAATTAATTTAAAATTATTTCAATTTTGTTTACTTGTAAAATTTTGCATGTACGCAACATAACTAAACTAGATAGAATCAATTAGATTGTTAATTATAAAATATATTCATTAAAAATTAATTATTAAAATAAATTAATATAAAATTATAGCTAATGCTTGCGTGTGGTGAATTATTTGTTAAATTCACCACACCCATTGAAATCAACAACATTTAATGAAATTCTCTAAAAAATTGCATTCCATCTTAAATCCTATTGTATACCTGGTGGTGGTTGTCCCAACTCGCTGGTGAAATCGAATAGACTAGCGCGTGGATGTGACAACGCATGATGCGGATGATGATGGTGATGATGTGGCACCAAAACATTTTTAATAGCCGATGTCTTTAGTAGACGCTTAAGCATACCACTGGAACCGCGATGTTGTAGACTCTTATGTGTGGTCAGTGAGTTTTTGGTGCGATAGCGTCGATGGCAGAATTCGCATACGTACAATGTATCGGATTGTTCATGCTTATCCTGGAAATGCCGTTTCAGTGAGTAATAACAGGAGAAGGTACGTCGACAATAGGGACATTCCTGTGGTTCATTAATACCACCACTTGTTGGTGGTGGCATACGTAGTGGCATTTGTGGCGGTGTTGAGGTATGTGTTGGTGTTGTAGGCGGTATGCCATTATTGCTGCCACCACTACCGGGGCGTGGCGGTGAGGTATCGTGTAAACTATAAACACCTCCACTATTGCTGCTATTATGTAAATTATTGACACCAACACAAGCCGCTGCCATTGAGCTCAGCGAAGAATTCGGTGATGTCAAGGCGGTTGGCGGTGATGGTGGCGATGAGGTAGAACTTGTTGGAGATGTAGCCGCTGAACGTATTGAATTGTGTGGTCCTATAGATATTTCATTACATTATATTAGTATTTTATTGAAATTATATATTGAAAAATTCTATTAAATTCTTTAAAATTAAAAGTGCAAAGTTAAAGTGAAATTTTAAACGGAAATGAAGAAAATAAATTAAGTTTTTTGTTTTTATATATAAATAGTATGAAAAGGTTGTTTTGTTTAATAGACGTAGCGGGGGGAAATTAATAATTAGGCGCAGCGTTTAATTGTTAAAATTTGGGTTTAATAAAAACTAAATAAAATAGTAATTAAATTCTTTGTTTTGTAGTAAGCAGCAACGCGTCTAATTAATTTTTTTTAAAGAATTATAGTTTTAGAAAGTGATATTTAATAATTTAATATATATATAAATTATTTAATGAAAATTCTAAAGCGAAAGTAGAGTAAAAACTACAGATTTATTTTTAATATATAATTTTTTGTATAATTTTCTTTTGTATTTAAGTAATAAATGCTACATATTTTTGTGAAATTGTTTAGAAAAAAATATAAAATTACATGCAAATAATTAAATTGCAATTTCACAAAAATAACTGTCAGCTTATTACAATTTTTATATATAATATATATTTTCCAACTGAAAAAAAACGTATTTACAAAAATAAAATACTAAAAGTAAAATATTTTACTATTCATTATTACAATTTTTTTTTAAATTACAAGCATGCAAACGAAACTAAAATTATTAAATTATATTTACAAAAGCGTAATGTTAAGTAATGTCAAGTAAATTACATTACTTCAAGCAATTACAATGCAAGTAATGAGAAATGATGAAGTTTAAGCTTAGCACAGCAGCGCATGCAAATATCAAAGCTGAGATGTAGATGAAATTTATACTAATTTTAATAAATATATACATACTTTTCTAATACTGAAATTTATATACATAAAAAATTAATATTTAAATAAATAAATTAAAGTAATGAAAATAATTAATTTATTAAAAAACTTACCAAATAAAAATGAGTTTTTAAATAATATGTTTAAAAATATAAATATTTTCTTTTGAAGCATAGATAATGCGCTAAAGAGAGCAAACTAGCAAGAGAAGAAAGAAAGAGAACTTCAAATTTCATTGTAAGAATATAACAGTTTGTTTACTTACAGAGAAAGTAGCGAGAGAATGCAACTTGTAACCTCCTACATTAGTTGCTATTATAAAGTATATATTATATTGACTAAATTAGCGAGTAAAATGTTTTAACGAGTATAACGTTGTGGAAAACGAATTCCTTGTATGTTACAATAGTTTAAGAATTAACTTAATATACTAAATAATTGTTTAATAGAATCAATAATATATATTAGACATAATTGAAAAATTTTATGCACTCTAGGTCTAGCTAGTTTTATTTCCACTCTTATATAAAGTAGAACATACTATCAACGAGTCGCAAGAAATCCAAAAAATTTATGCTTAATCCATTATAATAAGAAACTATTTTTATTAATAAATACAGTATTTAGCCTATTTCACTATTTAATACATTTTTTTTGTAAAGTAGTGACACAATGTGACAATAAAGTCAAGTTCAACAGAAAGACTAGTATATTAATTAGTTGTTTAATTTTAAAACACATCAGCATAAATAGAATAATAGGACAACAGCCCTATTGTGATAAACCATTTAAATAAATAATAAAAATATTTTTTTATTAAAAAGATAACTAATTCGAAAGCATTTGTAATCTACGATTATTTGAAAAAATACTGTACTGTTAAAGAAAACCAACTAGTACAATTTTTTTGTCCAGGGTAGATTCAAAATATCTGATATATTTCGCAATACGACTATAAGAAATATCTTATGAAAGTATAAATATTAATATTAAAAAAAAAAATTAAAGCATTTTATATCACAATAGTTTTAATATTTTATATTACCGAGGAACTATATTACTAGAACTTACTATATAGTTGGCATTTATTGAAATAAAATAACTAATAGTTAAGACCTTTTAATACAGATTTCTTTGATAGTTTAATATGATAGTAGACACTATTTTTGAGGCATGTATATATATATATAAAGTATTTAATTCTTATAAGAATATATGGGGTACTGGTTCCTAGTGGAGTAGAACACTGCGATTATGGTCGATCTTTTGTGTCGCAGTAATTGTAATTACATTAAACATATTTTTCATCATGCTGTTAAAATCAAGTATTTACTAGTTTTCTAAAAATAAGGTTATTTTGAGAACCAAAAGAACTAATTATTAAAGTTAGTATTAAGGTAAACCTTAAAAACGCAGCAATTGCACTTTACCTGAATTTCAAATAACTGGTGATGAATGGTTTGTTTATATTCTTAATATTAGAAATACGATTTAATTACCCTAAATAACTGTTGTTTGCTATACACATGCTAAGTGTATATACATATATATTTAAATGTATATAGTTAGTTTGATATGACATAATTCAATAGGAAAAATTTATCAACTTTTTCAAACTCTATCAACATAATCTACTTTCTAGGCAAAACCCTTAAAATATTAAAGCCCAAATTACAAGATTACAAGACTACTTTAAACCACAACCAATATTATCGTAGCATCATATTTAGGCCCAGTGTAAACTTGTCCAAAATAACGTGCGTGCATACTATGGAGTAGTGCACACCAGCCAGCTTTTTCTGGCCGTAAGTGTGCACCTAGCCTTAATATTAGAAGGACATGATTATACATACACCGAGTAGATGAAATAATTATAAATTTAAGTGCTAACTACTTAGTTTAGACCAAAAAGACCATCAGTAAAGCTTACATACTAATTCATTTAAAAAGATAGTCTCTGACTAAAGTTAGTTTAAGATAATTATCTATTAAATAAACCATAATACAATATAATAGCATTTATACAGTTTATATAATATATTTTTGACTAGTAATATTATAATAGCATTTCATTTTAACTAGTAAATAGTAACTAGTAAAGCCAACTTATTTTAGAAAAGTACTTAAGATAACCAATGAGCATATGTTTTAATTACAAGAGAGAAAGAGAGAAAGAAAGAGAGATGGTGTTTAGTGTAAGATATTGTGTAAAAGATTGTGTCTTTGTATGAGCACCAGAGTGAAGGTGTGTGCATGTTTATATAGATGAATTGTTTTGTGAAAAAAATATAATATAATAGCAAAATTTTATTTTTCATAACAAACTTTTATACTACAAATATATCACTAGTAGTAAATGCTAGTAGACCAAGTGTATAATTACAGAGACAGCTGGTGTGGTAAAGACAGCATGTGAGTAGTGAATATTTTTCTTATAATTATTATTATTATTTTTTTTTTTTACAAAGAGACAGACCAAAAAAGTTGAAGAAGAGAGTGAAGGTGAGAGAGTTATAGGTTTTGAGAGCGGTAGTAATTATGAAACTAACTACTTTTTTTAAAATGGCATATCTACACAAACAATTAGCACTAAACTTTTTTTCAAAATAGTTTAGCTTGAATTGTTTATTTTTTACTTTTACTTTTAGCTTTACTTTTTTGTTGTTGTAGCTAAACGTATTCTCACCTCGTCTCTGTTACAGGATTAAATACACAAAAGAAATTTCTGCTTCCCGCTTCTTTCTAGACACAAGGAGTGTGTGTAATTTGCTAAGGCCCGCAACTACACCGATGACACAGCATTTGTACGTTAAGTGCAGCGGCTGACGTGATAAGTGACTTCATGTTGAATGCTTTATTACAGCACTTTTTAATACTTGTTCCATTAGATTACGCGTATTTACATTTAAAGTGTATATTATTTTTTTTATTTTATAAATATATATAATTTCTATAAGTTATTATATAGTAGTTAATTAGTTTCGTTGAGTTAAGTTTTTTTTTTAGTTAAGTTAAGTTAAGTTCTTTTTCTTTTTATATATGGAAGTCAAGTGATTTATATATAACAAGTTTAACAAGTAACAAAGTTTCTAGTAAAAAAGTACTTTAGTATTTAGTATAAAATTGACTACGTTAAAAAAGTTGTATGTATAAATTTGATTGAGTGTATAGAAGGCCACGAGAGATATAATAAAATGGTCCATAAGCATAGTTCCGCGAGTTTTAGAATTGTTTTCCTTGTAATGTATAAATACGTATATATGTAAAAAAGTTATAAAATGTCTTTGAAATGTAACTAATTAGTATATAAAACGTTGCTTTAATTTCACTATCACTACTTGTATTGTATATATGGCATTGCTTTTAATATGTTTTTTACTTCAAATGTCTTTTCTTTTTTTTTTTTATAGTAATTAATATATATTATTAATATTATAATTATAATTAAAATAGTTATTTCTATCATAGTGATTATAATCATTATTAAAATTAGAACGTTTCTCCTGTTGTAGATTACAGTAGCCAGCTCGGTAAGTGTCACCAAGGCTGCCATTACTATAGATCTCATTGTAGGATCTAGCACTAATGGGTTTGTTGTTGGCACCATTATGTTGTATATAATAATCATAAAATGTCATTAGAGGTTTTACTGGTTTAGGTGGTGGTGGTTGTTGTTGTTGTTTCTGCATTTGCATTTGTTCGTAATTATAAATAAATTGTTGTAATTTTTCATTATCATTATCATTTTTATGTTTTTGTTGTGATTTTGTTATATCTAAATTCAATGTATGCGTTGCATTAATTGCTTTTGTTGTTGTTGCACTTGCGTTAGTCTCGTTTCAGATTGTCGAATTAAATTGATTATACAACTTCAGATCCTTCATTTCCATTTCGCCGGGCCGCGATTTGTGGTACGTGTAAATGTGTGTCATCAGCGAGTTGCGCGAGCAATAGACCCTTTCGCAGATGATACAACGGTATTCCTCCTGACGTACGGCATGTTTATCGGCAATATGGCGTTTAAGTGAGGCTTTAGAGCAGAGTAGCTTACCGCAAAGTTGGCATGAGAAGAGTTTCTTGGGTGAATTTCCTGGAATTTTTTTAATTAAAGTTTTTGTTTGTTGTTGTTTAAAAACACTTT